GAAGACGCATGAGGGATGGTCGGGACTAGTATCATAGCCTCCGATCAATCCTTTATATATATATATATATATATATATATTATGAATCTAATGCCTAGCAAACACCAAACACAAAATCAGATTTATTAAATAAATAACCAGGAAAACATAAAGCCAAAAGTTCAAGCAAACAATTCCAACTCTAGCAAGAAGAGAGCTGCCAATGAAACTTCTCATAGAATTTAATAAAAGAACAAAGTGGTGTTTTTTTCTCCAACTTTCTGCGAAACATGGCTGCAAACACAGATTTGTTACCCATAGTATAGTTTTCTCATAAATTGCTCAGCAGGCAAGCAGAGCAATTAAACACGTGAATTACCTTAATACCCATTTTTGGAAGCTCTTTCTCAATGTACATTCGGGTCTTCCGGTAGCAATCAGTCGTAGTGATAATATGCCCATTAGCAGGAACTAATGCCCCAAACAACGCCACGGTAGCATACATCCCAGAGGACACAAAGAGAGTTGACTCTGCTTGTTCCAACGCCCTACAATGTGGATAACCAAGTGATTTAAGGGTTGTTTGGTGACGGCTTTAGCTACTAAAGTAAATCACGTAGATCATTTAGTAAATCCCAGATTTTAGGAAAAAACTAGAAGAAGCTGGATTTATGAGAACCAGGATTTAAAAGTGCTGTTTTTTCTATTGGCGAATTTAAGTTAAACAAGAGAATGGATCAGGAAGCACCTCATTTTCTCCTCCAATGTCATTGTGGTGGGATTTCCATAGCGACCATACTCATAACTATCATGTCTTCCCTCCTGCCAAAAAAAAAAAAAAGATCAAATATTTAGCCACTCAAATGTGGTGGAAGACCGCATCCTCTCCAAATATAAAGAAAACGAGAGATAAAGAAGAGAAATAAAGAAAAGAAAATTATTTTAGCATATTAACAGAAGACCTTGAAATCGATCAACTCATCCGAATTCCTGAACCAGTAGGCGGAAGTCCTAACAAGCGGGGTAGTAATGGAATCCGTAACCAGGCCACGACCATATCGTTCACCTGCGAACAACAATTTAAGAACTAGCTTAAAATAAGAAGTTCAGATCAATATTTTGACATTGATAAACCCTAAAACATTTTCTGAATTGATTTCTAATTAATTTTAATGTTAACATTAAACAAAATTTAACCCTGTCGATCTTACCAAAACTGGTTTAACCCTAACCAATTAAGCTAAAAATTATTAACCAAAATTAGAATCATACTAATTAATATGCCAATAATGAATGATTAATTAAAATCTAATTATTCAATGTAGTTGAAAGTATTTTATCTTCTTATCAATGACTAAGCAAAATTTTAATTAAAAAAATAAATTTGTAATTATTCAAATAATTAATGAATTATTATTTTTAATAATTAATCGACTGCAACCAAACTCAATCATTAACTATATGCCAAACGTACATTTAAAATCAAACAAAATGACAGAATAAAAATCATCAGAACCTTACGAGTTAAGATGAATCTTTTTTGCAACAATTAAATTAATTTCACGAAATAGATCGGAAAAGGAAGGAGTAAGTTGGTCACCGGCATGTACAGTAAGGCTCTGATCGGAGCCAAATAAAGCAGACATGGCTGGTGTGGTAGTGGCAGCATTCGGAACCTCAGCTTCGGGGGAGAGAATATCAGAATCACATTTGGTAGATTCAGTCATCTCCTCCGGAAAAACAACAGCCGCGGCAGCCAGAGAGGTGGCGGACACCGAAGATTCAAAAGGGGGCTGGTCGTTAGACCACGAAGCCGCAACGATCTGAGCTACACCGATGTTGCTGCAGTTCCGGCGAGCCTTGTTGCTAAGTTGGCGCACGAAGTTGGGGGGAAAACGGAGGATAAGGCCGAAGTGGATGCCTCCGAAGGTAACACGACGGCCGAGGAAGACGGCCCTTTTTTCAAAAGCTGTTTTCTCGGCTCCGCTACTGGATCTGTTGTGCCCGGATGAAGGGGGGCAGCAATCGGAGGAGGAACCGAAGAGGCTTGTATTCGATACATGAAGAGGGGAGTGCAGCGACAAGGAGGCAGATACGACAGCCATGATCTTCAAAAAGCTTTAAAGCCTGTCTGGTAACGGATTTAGAGCAGGATTTAAGCTGGATTTAACCTAATAAATCTTTCCAGACGGTCATTTTGGACAAAATAAAGCCTAGGAGAATCCGGATTTCACGGATTTCGGCCTTAAATCCCGGATTTACTAAATCCCGATCGGTCGATTTAGTGAATTCAGGACGGACGGTTGGCGCCGAAAAAAAAGACGTGAAGTTACCTTCCTCAATGGTTTCGGGCAGGAGAAGAGCGGAAGGAGAAAAATGGGGGTCTCTGTAAGCCGCGATCCCGTCGATGCGTTCCCAGCTAGTTGCGACTGTATCGCGTGAGTTCGGTCACGAAGCCGATTAGTTTGGGACGAAACAGATTGACGCGGAAAGACGTGCGAGACGGATAAGGGATCGACATATTAGGTTTGTGGAATTAATTTAATTTTAGTAAGTTAATCGATTAATAATTAATAATCAATTAAAATATTATCAGATTAATTTTAATTAACGAAATTTATATTTTTTATTTAACTATTAATTAGTAAAAAATAAATAATATTTTTTTACATTTAATTAATAATAAGTAATTGTTGTTTGGTATACCTAATAGATAATTAATTGTTTTTTATAAATTAAAACTCAATTCAATAGTTAATTTAATAAAAATTTTATTCTTAATTATTTAGTTTAATAACTATATAACTATTAATTATCATAATTTGAAGTACAATTTTATGAACTAAAATTGTCAGCACAAATCTCAAAGTAATCAAATGGCCAAGGACAATGGTCGAACAATCGAAGCATCGGGCAAAATAAGCATGATCTAAACAAGTCATCTGACGACCAATGTTCGATCAAGTCAGTTAAGACGCAATGTCAGTGGATCCAATCGACATACCACATTTATAATCCAAGTTACTTGAACTCCTTGTAAGGATGTTTGGTCGCAACCAATCGACCGACCGACTTTTCCTCGGCAAAAGCCATCATCATGCAAACGGTCTCCTTGGTCAATTGAACTCGAACATGTCGACCAACTAATAGTTGTTATGTTACACTGAAGTTGTAACACAAATCTGATATTAATTAGCTCATTAATTGCATTAAGAGTGGTTTTCATATTTGTTCCTTCCCTTCTATAAATGTACAAATTTGTCCATATAAATAGAGGGTCAAAAGATGAATAGATGGACTTTTCGTCCAACTTCTCTTCATGAAATTCTCTGACATATCTATTTTATATTTCCCTCATCTCTCAACTCTAACTCTCGAGGCGTGTCTTACCAATGGACAATTTAAGATTTAACATCCTAAAAGGTTGTGTGGTGAGCGTGGGGATGCCTAGGATGAGAAGCAAAACAAATTACGAAGGAGAAACTCACAAAGGGGCGCAGCATCCTTGGAATTCAATAAAGAAACGGTGAGTCGAAACACATAGGAAGAGGTCCAAGCGCTACAGAAACAGATGATGGAGCAGTTTGGGGCCCTCCGGGCGATGATAACCCAGAGGAATGATGAATCGCCACTCTTGAAGGGTCTCAGGGAACTCGTTCCCAAAGCGCTCATCGTGAGAATCTACTTGCGCTCAATGATCAAGTTGGAGGTCGACCGACCAAAAGGCAAGGGGACACCCAACGCACGGATGGTGCAGGATCTATGGTGATGATCAGACATCGGTGGGGGGGTCGAGTGGGAGCTCCTGTCTAACTGATTGCAGGAAGCGCTTTCTCTTGGCTAATCCTATAGGTTGTACCCATTGTGAAGCTAAGTATTTCTCATTTGGATCCTTAAGAGTGGCATGGCTAACCATGTAGTTTCTTTCGAGTCATCAGCCGGAGTCATACAAACTGACGACGCGATGAAGTGACGACTGATATACTAATTTTATTTTATATTAATTTTATATATTTATTATATATTAATTTGATATATTTAATTTATGTTTTAATCAGTTTGAAGGGGAATCTATTTATGAAGCATGGGAACGATTTAAAGAACTCTTAAGAAAGTGTCCACACCATGTTATACCAGAATGGTTAATAATTCAAACCTTTTATAATGGATTAATTGGTTCTTTTAAATCTATTATCGATGCCGCTGTTGGTGGTTCATTGATGTCAAAACCATTTTCATGACACTTATGCTTTATTGAAGAGATGGCTACCAATAATTTTTAATATCCTCCTTAGAGGGTGAATCCAAAGAAAGTAGCTAATATTCATGAAACTGATGCATTTGTCATGCTAGCAAATCAAGTTGTCGCAATTTCAATGAAGTTAGATCAATCTGGAATGAATTTTTCTCAACTAATTCCTATGATTGAAGAGAATTCTTCCCATGATTGAAGAATCCCATGATTGAAGAAAATTCATTAGGTCAAATGGTAAATTCTCAAGCATCATTAGAGACTTTGATTGTCATAAATAATAAGCAGAATAACTCATACTCAAACTATTATAACCCATATTGGAAGAACCATCCCAACTTTAACAGGAACAATACTTCGGGTGGTAATAATCTGTAATGGGGGAACAATCAAGTAAATTCATTGGGAAACTGGAACAACCAAGGGAATAGTAATTATAGACCTACTTATTCTCCAGGTTTTAACAGCAATCCACAATTTAAGAAGAAGAAACTGTCTATAAAAGAAGTGATGTTACAAATGGGAAATTAATTATAAAGTCAATGAGCTACTATTATAAATATTGAGAATCAATTTGGACAAATAACAAATTCATTAAGTAATAGATCCCAAGGAACACTTCATAGTAATACAGAAATAAATTTAAAAGTCCTGAATAAAGAGCAAGTAAAAGCCGTTCAACTTAAAAGCGGAAAAGAATTGGAATGTAGAGTTCAAAAAGAGGCTGAAGTTGAGAGAGAAGAAATTGAAGAACCAAAAGATGATGCTCCAAAAGGTTTAGAGAGACATATTTCTCCACTTAAAGTTGATTTGGAAAAACCACCACCTCTATTTCCTCAAAGGCTTCGACAACAAAGGTTGGATAAGCAATTTTCAAAATCTTTGAAAATTTTTAAGAATCTTACAATTAATATTTCATTTGCTGAAGCTCTAGAATAAATGCCAAGCTATGTGAACTTTATGAAGAATATTCTTAACAAGAAAAGAAAGTTTGAAGATAATGAGGCTGTGACACTTAGTGAGGAGTGCAGTGCTATAATTTAGAAAAAGCTTCTTAAAAAGCTTAAAGATCTAGGTAGCTTTACAATTTCATGTGCAACAGAAGACAGATTTTATAGAAAAACTTTATGTGATTTAGGAGCAAGCATCAACCTTATATCATTATCAATATTTAAGAGATTGGGATTAGGAGAAATAACCCCTACTACTGTAACTTTGCAGTTAGCAAACCGATCAATAACATATCCTAAAGAAGTTATAGAAGATGTCCTGGTGAAAGTGGATCAATTTATCTTTCTTGTTGATTTTATTGTGCTATATATGGAGAAAGATAAGGAGATATCTATCATTTTGGGGAGACATTTCCTAGCCACAGGAAGAGCAATGATAGACGTGCAAAAAGGAAAATTAACTATGTGCGTCAATGATCAACAAGTTATATTTAATATTTCTAAATCAATAAAATACCCTGCAAAAGGTAAAAATGATGAATGTTATGGAATAGATGTTATAAGATACTTAAGTGATTGTTATTTCAAAACAACTTATGAAGAGAAATCTTATGAAGATCAAAACAACTTATGAAGAGAAATCTGAGATGAAAGATATGGAACACGGGCAAGAAGAGGAATTGGATCAATATGAAGATTTATATAAGGAATATTCAAGTTATGTTTAAGAAAGTTTTGAAGTTTGGACACAACAGAAAATGATACATCTTTTTTGTCCATCAATTGAAAAACCTCCTGAGCTTGAGTTGAAGTTGCTTCCTGAACATTTGAATTATATCTTTTTAGGTGATTCCTCTACATTACCTGTTATAAATTCCTCAAAATTAAATATAGAAGTAGAAGAGAGTTTGATGAACACTTTAAAGAGTTATAAGAATGTCTTTGGATGGACAATTGTTGATATAAAAGGAATCAGTCATTCAATTTCTATGCATATAATTCATATGAAAGAGAACTACAAACCCTTGATTGATCCTCCAAAGAAGTTGTTAAGAAAGAAATTCTAAAGTTATTAGATGTTGAAATTATCTACTATATTTCAGATAGTGCATTGGTTAGTCTAATTCACTGTGTTCTTAAGAAATAAGGAGTCACTGTGACTTTAAATAAGCATAATGAGTTCATACCAACAAGATAAGTCATAGGATGACAAATATGCTTTGATTATAAAAAATTAAATCTCGCCACTAAGAAAGGTCATTTTGCACTACCCTTTCTTGATCAAATGCTAGATAGACTAGCTAGGCATAAATACTTTTATTTTCTGGATGGATATACTAGTTATCACCAAATACAAATAGCTCATGAGGATCAAGAGATCAAGAGAAAATAACTTTTATCAAAAATAACTTTTATCAATCCTTATGGTACATTTACTTTTAGAAGAATGTTCTTTGGTTATATAATGCACCTGCTATATTTCAAATATGTGTGATGACAATTTTTTTGTGATTTACTTAAGGATTGAAGTTTTTATGACTGATTTTTCAGTGTTTGGAACTTCATTGGAATCATGTTTAGAACATCTATCAAAAGTCCTTAAGCGCTGTGAAAAAATAAATTTAGTCCTTAATTGAAAAAAATGTCAATTTATGGTACCAGGAGGAATAGTTTTAGGACATCAAATTTCAAAAAATGGTATGGAAGTAGTTCCTGCGAAAATTTAAGTAAACGCTAATTTACCTCACCCAAAATTAGGAGTTTTTTTATGACATGCTAAATTCTACTGGCGTTATATTAAAGACTTTTCAAAAATTGTTAAGCATCTATGTCATTTACTTTAAAAAGATGTAATTTTTAATTTTGATAAAGAGTGCCTTAAAACTTTTAAATTATTAAAAGAAAAATTAGTCACTGCGCCAATTATTATTTTACCTGATTGGGAAAAATCTTTTGAATTAATATGCGATGCTAATGATTATGCTATTGGAGTTGTTTTAGAACAAAAGCATAATAAGATTTTCAAGGTTATCTACTATGTTAGTAGAACTCTTAATGCATCTTAAATTAATTATATTCAAATTAAATAACACAACAACTGAGAAATAGTTATTAGCAGTAGTATATGCTTTTAATAAATTTGGATCATACTTAATTGAAACTAAATGTATAGTGCATACAGATCATTCTGATATTAAGTATTTTAATGAAAAAGAAGGATGCAAAACCAAGATTGATAAGATGAGTTCTTCTTTTGTAATAATTCGACTTTGAAATAGCAGATGGGAAGGGAGTTGAGAATC